CAGTTAATAAGAACCTTCATGAAGAACACATAGGTCAGTCTCGATTGAATATTCGAGCGTTCGTGTAAGCTGTTGTTTTCGTCGTTCTTGTGCAATGTAATTTGATCTTATCTTGTCAAAACAAAGTAAGTACAACTTTCACAAGTCGTACTAAGCATGAAAATGGCATTAAAATGGAAATTGGATGACATATGCATCGCATCTCTTGTTGCAGACCTATAGCCTGAATATAGTCTCCCATAATCGAAGGGTGTCGAAAGATAAATCTTCCGTTCATGAGATCATCGAGGCACGCTTGATAATATCTGATCTGAATATCGATATTTTATGGCCTTACCTTGATGAAAGAATCGAAAAGCTGACCGTCTTTCCCTTATCCACTTCACAGGTCTCTTGCTTTCATCGTTATTCTATTGATTGCCGAAGCAGTTCAATTTAATATGGATGTGATTCAATGCAATGAACAAATTGCAATGCAATCAAGCAATAACGATATCATGTTCAGATATAGTCTACTTCATTGCAGAAGTATATGGTGATAGGATCCTTTTCCGTTCTTTCAAGGATTCATAATATTGCATCATTCCTCATTCCATCAAACTATTTCTTCGCATTCTTCCATGTGCTTTGACAAGGACTACTTATCGTTAGGAAAGCGTCAGATAAGAATTCAATATTTGCTTTGATGAGCACATAAGCAAACAGCAGTTCACAATATCTCCTGATCGACTGTGGTGATAATAAGTGTTGAAAAACTTGATAACGAATGGCGTATCGCCTTTTTGGAATGGCCTGATTTTTCCATTTCGATTCACCGTTCCGCATGTAGTTTCAAAGACAAATTGTAAAATGTAGTTGACAATTCATTTCTTTGTTTGTTCACTTACTTACATAGTGCATTCGTTCACCTGCTAGTCGCAAACACTCATCACTATGCTTCCTTGAAATCATCCTTTTAATACCACCAGTCACATTTCCAACATAACAGCGAACTATTTGAGCATATTCACTTATATCGAATATCGAAAAATTTGCAGAAATGTATGATCATTGGATTCTTCTCCACTCTGGTAAGGAATCGTAATATCCCACCAAACATACCCCACTGATTTGTGCCTAAGAAATGGAAAATCAACACAAGATGAATTATAACATTACGCATGCTACAGTCACGCTGAAATCCAACATAGGATGCAAACGATTTCATTTGTGTGATATTCATTTCTGAATTCAAGAAATTAAAAATTTTCATGAAGCCTATCTTAGATCACTTCCTTGGTAACTATCAGCTTCCTCTGCAGCATATTCGAGTGCTGTGTGTGTGAAAATTGTGACAAAATTGTGAAACTGCGAATATTCTCACTCAATCTCTAAAACACTTTGCATGATGAGTGCTTTGAATGTATAAAAGTTGTTTTTTTAACTGACTATTAGTGAACATTGCTTGTTTCAATTTGTAAAAGTTGTTTGGTGAAGCCTTTAAACGTCATAAATACAGTGTGATTTTTTTTCAATGCATCATTGAATCAGCTTCATAGACCGATATCGTTACACGAGAGGCTATTATTCTCCCTCAAACTGTAGAACATTTGAAGTTTTATGAAATTTTAAAATTTTATCAAAGTTTTATTAAATTTTTTCAAAGTTTCATCAATTTCACAATTCGTTTACTTGCTGGTTTGCAAAAGCAACGAACAACCATTTCAATGATCAGCATAAACAATAAACAACTGTAAAATCTCCGAAGAATTTTCATATCAGTCCCTAATAAATTTACGAGAAAGATGTTTCCCATATAATGTGAACTGAGACAATATCCGTCCAACTACTAACAGAATACGGTCGGTTCGTTTCATTTGGAAAATGTTTCCCGTATAATAGCAACATCACGATGATGACAGAAGTGACATGCAAAAGACAAACAGTGAAATCATTTTAAATGTTCCAAAATGAGAACGACTCGACGAGGAAGTGAGTGTAGTTGAAGTGATGGACCCTGATTGAACGCGTGTATCTCTGGTGAGTGTTGCAACTGTAGAGAACGGGAAAGGAGTTGATTTAGAGGCAGATGGACGAGTAGATGACCACGGACTCGTGCTTATGGCGGTACTTGATGAAAGTGGCGTTGTGCTCGTTGATAATGGTGTCGTTGTTGAGTCGACTGAAGATTCTGAAGGTTTGAATGAGGTTACCGTTCGTGTTGGAGGTGGTGTGCTTGGGGACTTTGAATCGTGATCGACACGGGAACGTTCACGGGAACGCGGCTGTTCTGTCCGGATGATTATGAGGAATCGGATGATGCGGCAACTTACGAGAAGGCAGCAACGGAGCAGTCTTAGTGGTCGTGGACGATAGCAATGGCTGAATGGTGTCGATCATTGTTGTAAGTAGTTGACTGCTTGAAGTTGACAAGGACGTTAACGGTTGTCGTGTGCTGGTTGCATTGGTTGGGGCTGATGGACAATAGGGTTTTTCTGCATAGTATGATTCGTGAACATCGCAATTGCATAAATCCGAAGGATCACAGCAGCAAAATTTAATGTCGAAACCCAGCTTCCAGAATGGTAGTGTTGCGCTAGTGATTTCAGTCGTTGTACAGTTATTCAATTGATGCTGCAAATCATTTCATTGTGACATCAGAGAACCGTTCAAGTGGAATGATAATAGCCAGATGAAGGAAACGAATTCCTCAAGCCTCTAAATGCCGTGATTTCCCGAAATTTCCCCGAAAAAAATAATGAACACCGAAAAAAAAAGCGAACAATTTCAGAAATCGAAAAAAAATTCCTTAAATCAAGCGCAAGAATGTAATTGAAGCACACGGCAAGATCATGAAATTCATTCGAATCGAGCTCTCTCACTATCAGCACGTTGCTTTCAATAATTTCAACTTACTTCGCAAGTGACGAGGTAGTTAGCAACTATGTTTCCATCGCAAAATGCAAACGTCGCACTGCCCAACGAACCATAATATCCTGAAGATTTTCCAACCTTTGCAGAAGAAGAGTGAACAAATGGCGAAAACATTTCAATGAAAAAAATTTTTTTAATCATTGCGACAGCTTTCGCAGATTTTATCACATTCCTCCATTACCAAATCCATCCTGTCAAGAATGACTCTTGCATTGCGATTTTTTTTTTGTTGATAGAAACGAAAGTTATTCGAACGAAAGATGAAAGACTTTTCGATAAAAGTAAAAGTCAAAAAATGAACCATGAGGATTTAGAGAGCCATAAATGCAGCTCTGAGATCCAGGGCAGTCGGTTTGAACGAAACCTTGCGGTGGTAATCTTTCTTCAGGCACAGGAAAGAGTGTTGATATTTTGTAACCTACACCACATTTTATGGCTTGCACCCGACGGCATAGCAATGCAGCCACTAGCATTTGAACGCACACATTCGTCGTTGTTGAGCATTTCATTTCGGTATGAGCGAAGAAGACAAAGAATGTGGATTATTCTTGCTCACAATTTGACCCGCTTTTCGAGAGCACAGTTCAAGGATCGACGGAAACTGATGAATGAGTTGAAGAGCGGTTCCCGGAACACAACTCATCAACTGATATCGATGAATTATTTATATACAGATAGGAGGCCACTTCTCAAATGAACAATGATTTTTCGTATTTTAACAGTAACACACGCCTCTCTCACACGTTCATTTAACTTTATGGCTCGATGATTCCATTTTGTTTCAGACAGCATTCGTGTTGCCTTATCAGTGCTTTGTTTTCATATCGTTGCTGAACTGATCCATTGCAAACCTAACATTTTGCATTAGCAAGCAACTCATTGAGGACTGTCGTTACGAGCATACGTTTCGTTCACTGCAATACATTGCGTTGAAATTCCATAGACTGGAAACTGTGCAATGCACCACACTGATGCCAGTGCTAACGTAATGAGTTCAGTTGTGAACGAATAGAATCGATAAGTTTGTTTTGGCACTCACTCACCTATCTCATATTATCTGTTCATCATTACCAAATTTGTGGGGATTTTAGGAATCATTATATCCACTTTGCTTAAGAGTATATGGAAATATTACTTGCCTACATCAATATTTCCTTTGCCAATTGAATTTAAGAATTTTTAAAATTATGATCTATTAATAGAGTGTAGCTCAAGCATCTCCTCATTTCTTGAGACTGTTCCAACATAATTAAAGTCAACTGTGAATTTGTTACGGATGTGCATCAATGATGACAAATAGAAATAATGACGGCATTTTTGATGATATTAGTTTTCATTGCAAGTCCCTGAATGTGCTCGTAGTAGATCAACTTTTTATCTAATTGTAAGCGAATGCTCGAACATTACCTATGCGAATGTTTATTAGTTATTATTCAAAATTGAATGATCGTAAGGGACATTCAGTATGTAAGAAAGGTTTAGTGACCTGTAAAATGGAGGAAGTTCAGGATGTGTTTCATAAATATACGCGAACGAACACTCTTTGAACTAGCAACATCACGGAGACTGTATCAACCACAAGTGAGCAACTCGTAATGTCGAATGGTGCTTTAGGTGAGGAGGACAAACAATTATCTGAGGAATGGTTGAAAACACAACAAGAAAACAAGCAAGGATTTCAACATTGCGATACAGTAGAGCCATATTAGCAAATGTTAAAGGGGATTTCAGACAGAGAAGAAAGGCCAAAAATCCTATTATTTTGAAGACTCCCAGAAGAGCGACAAAGGCTCATATCTACCAAGATGACTTGAACTTAGCACAACAAACATTGAGAGAATGCAATTTGCCAGGTGAGCATTTAGAATGAGTGTTCTGACTGGGATAGAAACAAGGCTTAAAATCTCAGCTACTGAAAAGCAACTTCAAAAACAAGGACGCATCCGGTAAGATAATTTCAATTTCACAACAGAAATCGTTTTATATATCTGTACTACCTCAGCTCCTTAGAATTATTTGGTTCTCACTATAACAGAGCAACTCAAAGAAAGAGACGCAATTTGAAAACGACATTGGAATTTTCAAAATTATTATCGAGAAAATATTAAGGACTGAAAGGTCGTATGTTGTAGAACGAACATGATTTCCTAGTGGTTCCTGAAAGTCTGCCTACCCCTCGAAACCGACTCCCGGTAATGGCATTCCACGGTGTTCATGCATTCGTAAAGTATTCTGAATCATGCACCGATACATGATTATTGAATGATCAGTTTTCACATTCAAAGCTGTTTATTTCCCTGACGGGACAGTTTCTAGCTCACCAAACTCTTTCAGAAAGTCACTTATTCCTTAGAAACATTCCATTTGACGTGGAAACCTAAAAGGTTGCTGATAAAATTGACGATTCATCGCAAAACATTAGGAGTCCCTCACTAAACGCTAAAGTCTCGTTCTTGGTAGGCATACGGTAGAGTTGTGGACTTGTTTTACAAACGATTACAGTAATCGCTGAATATCTATTGGTCAAGTGAGTAGCCAATAGGGTCAGTGATAGATTCAGCAGTGGTGCCGGCCAGTTTAATAACCTGTGGCGAAATGCTCCATCACATTCAATTGTCATCAGAAAATGCAATTGTTATTTGATACAAATTATTTTCTAAAATTTTTGAATTCATCCCCCTTCTGTTAAGGTTCAGTTTGCTAAGCAGTTATCATTTTTCATTCTATGATTCGATTTGCTGAGAATTCATCATTTTATCAAATTTAAGGCGTCTCCACGTTACTGAGATTCTCCCCCTCTGTCTGTTTTAATGAAAAGTTTCATGATCAACGTCTCAGATAGCACTTCTTTTAATTCTCAGGATATCGTTTGTGCAGTTTGCACACCAATTTGCAAGCGTTATTTTCTAAAGATTCCATTCTCCTGCGATTTCACCTCCTCACAAGTTTCTTCTCCATTCTCCGTGATGAAAAAGATGTACTTGTGAGTGGAGCTCGACTAAGTAGTCGTTTGCATTTACATACTGTCTTATCGAAATTTACCCATTGATGTGCTAGATTTGTCGTTCTCGAGAAGCTTCAATTTTATCGATATTCACGTTGTTACGGTTAATAGTGATCGAGAAATATTCAGTCGTTTAAGGTCTATCGAAATGGAACGGTTTCTACGGTTGGGTGGATTGAGCGGCCTCAACGCTTCACAGGCATGTTTCATTTTCAGTTGCTAAACCCACATTTTGGTTTATAATCTGTTGGTTGAAGTTGTAAGCAGTACGCACTTTTTTAAACACCTTAATGGAATCTCGTTTTAAGTTTGGAGGCGGTGCACCAAGTGATTCAAATCAAGTGGATACTTCAGAAACTGTCTATATATCGTCGTTAGCACTTCTCAAAATGCTTAAACACGGTCGAGCCGGTGTCCCGATGGAGGCAAGTGTTTTCTTTTCAAGCGATAGGTTTTTGCGAAATCTTATTTCTTAACCACATGATAAGTTTTGTTTCAAGGAAAAAAGATCTGTTATATATCTAAGAAATTAACTGGATTTATCAAGGTTCCGAAAATTTTTTAGTGAGCCGAATATTCAGCCACTGTCTTTTTCAATTATTGCTTTGTAACTTTGACAATCCCACGAACTGTTAATATATTTTTAAAACATGGCAACATCTCACCCACCAATCATCAAGAAGTTTTGTGCGTTTTGCAGGTTATGGGCCTGATGTTGGGTGAATTTGTGGATGAATATACTGTGAACGTTATCGATGTTTTCGCGATGCCACAATCCGGAACGGTACGCGGACATTTGTCGTGTATTTTTTGAGTGCTCGTTATGTGACGACAGTCTTTGTTTGAATTTACATGTGTTATGTCATGAGTATTTCATAAAACGTAGACACACCATATTGGTGACCTTTGTGAAACCAAAATGAGAATCATTATGGTTATTGTTTTGATGTTCTTTCCGTTCAGCTACACGAATCAGTGATTGCAGGGAGTATCTGTGGAAGCTGTTGACCCAGTGTTTCAAGCCAAAATGTTGGATATGTTGAAGCAAACCGGTCGACCCGAGATGGTCGTCGGATGGTACCACTCACATCCCGGTTTTGGCTGTTGGTTGTCCGGTGTCGATATCAACACTCAGCAGAGTTTCGAGGCTCTCTCGGATCGGGCAGTTGCTGTGGTCGTCGATCCAATACAGTCGGTGAAAGGCAAGGTATGCTGCTCACGTTTCACTTGTTATGATATTGTTGTTGTTGCTCTTGTTGTTGAAGTTCTTCTCATTGTTGGTGCAGCCATTGTGATCATCATTAGCGTTATGATTTCGAGTACAGGTAGTGATCGATGCATTCCGAACGATTAATCCGCAGACGATTGCGTTGAATCAAGAACCACGACAGACCACATCGAATCTCGGTCACTTGCAGAAACCGTCCATTCAAGCACTCATTCATGGTCTCAATAGACACTACTATTCCATACCCATCAACTACAGAACGCATGAACTCGAACAGAAGGTTGTTTGAATGACTAATTCTGATACTCCATACAGTCTGTTACGATATTGTTGGCGTCAAATAGTAACCGCTACGATGTTACAAGTGATCGCCGTAACCGATAGTTTTGATGTTCGCGCTCTGAATTTTTTGTTTTCCCATGCTGTTGAACACTTAAGAAGATGAGTTCATTTCTCTGCGGTGTTTTGGTTTGTTCATGTAGGATACGTGGCATTTGCATTGTCAGTTGTGAAGGAATGTGATTAATTCTTTCGCACTTTAGATGTTGCTGAATTTGAACAAGCAAACATGGATGGACTCACTTGGACTGGAGAAGTTTTCAGTGCATTGCGAAAAGAATCAGGAATCAATGGCGAACATGCTGAAGTTAGCGAAGTTATACAAGAAGGTAAGATCACTTCGTAGTTGAATGTTTTAGTGACAGATTTGAATTTGATGACCTAGAGTGATCAACTAGCAGTGTTCAATCGAACTGGAATGTTGTTGTATNTCTGTCGTTTTGATGGTTGTGATAGGATGAAAATAAGGAGAGCAACATTCGTTGCATATTTTGATAAAGTAATTGAACTGCATTTGATGTATTGGTTCAGTGTGTGTGTGTATGTGATTAGTTAGTATATGAAAGGCTATTTGGTTAAGTTTGCAATTGAAAGTCTTTCTGGTGAGCAAAGTTATTCATAGTGTGTTCTGAGCGTTTGGATGTTTCGCTCGGTTGGAGGCTTTATTGGTGACAGAACCTTTAGAATCATCATTTTTAAAGGATTTGGAAGAACAAGAAAAGATGACCGAAGAGCAGTTGGCGATCAAAAATGTTGGCAAACAGGATCCGAAACGTCATCTTGGCGAAACAGTGAACGAGATGCTCGCCGATAATATCGTTCAGAATCTCGCGTCGATGCTTGATACAGCTTCTTTTCAATGAGATATCACATTTTATTGTTCTGTTTCTGTGTTATTGATGAATATGATTTTGGTAATTGCCTGCTATTTGTGAAAGTTTTAATGCTTAGACGAACATTTCGATGTGCTGAAGAAAGTTGGTATGCGGGAAAAACGATCGGAGAAACGTTTGTATTGAAAGTTGCATCGCAAAATCGATGGCAGTTGAGAAAAATTGTCGACAGATGGGAAAGAGGAGAGCACATTGGAGGGAGGAGATTATTTGGAGGGAATGAACAACTGGAAGAATTGAACTCATAAGTCTATTAAAGTAACGAATTTGAATGAGCGTTTGAGTGATTTTGGTGATAATTTTGGGAGTTCAGCAGTTCACGTTGAGAGCCTAATTGAAATGGAAATTTAACCGGTCCGGGGTGATTGGCTTTTACATAAACAGCTGTGAAGTCAGTTAATAATTGGTGATCGTAATGAATTGAATATGAATTGTTGATGTGAACGGATTTTAATGTTTGATCGATCTGATTTTTGTTAATTGAATGTGTTCGTAAATTTTCAAATGTTACTCATAATTTATTGTGCTACCATTTTGTACGTGCGTTTCTTGTTTTAATGAATCATCAATGTTTATGAAATAAAATTTTCGTATGCATTTGTTGATTCAATGCAGATCATTTCCATCACGAGAATATTCAAATGGTTTAAGCTCTACGAAAAGAGATTCAATTGATAATTTAGTGACTATTGATGAAAATTANTAGCTCTGCGAAAAAAAGATTCAATTGATAAATTAGTGACTACTGATGAAAATTATTAGCTGTTAACTTTTATAAGCATTGAATTTTAATAACAACTGGTAGTTCTCACTGGTATGTAACATTTTTAATCAGTAATAGAAGGTCATATCGTTCGTTATTTTCTATCATATCATTATTGGGGCTCTTTGTGATTCCGTACAGCATTCAGTAATATTCACAAGCAAGAAATATTGATGTAATCGGAATGAATCACTTGTCCTGTATTCCTGATAATTTGAAAGATCGAACCACTCCATCTGCTTGGTTTTTTATAGAACATTCAGCGATTTCCGTCGAAAACGACATGTCGATTTATGCATTTGTGCTTGTATACATACATATGTAATTATTGCAAAAAAAAGCAGTTGTTTTTGATTATAATTTGAAAAGTGAGATTATTTATTTACACCTTATACAATAAAGAAACCAACAATAAAGGGGGATCGCAAGGAATATTCATAGATGCGCATCGAGTTGATGGCTGAATTCATGAAAGGATCTCTTAANGAGCAATATTTACGTATTCTCAGTCAGCAGCATTAGTCATTGGTTCAATCACGATAAATATTCCCATTGAAAGTGCACCGAATGCTATTGTGATTTCAGTAGCCTGCAATTGCGAAAGAAATAGTAATCATTGTTATTCTCCCTAAAATTACGCCACTTTTGCTTCCATCTGGCACTCTTTATGAACTCGGATTTATTTTCAACTTGATCATTTGATGATGTTCATTGCAAAATTTATTCTTCATCAGCTGAATCATCAATTTTTTCCGGTCGTTTTATCGACGTAAACACATGGTTATTCGTTGTGATCATATGCTCAATGCTAAATGGATCATACAATCGCACTGCTGTCGTTTTGACAATCATCCGAAATCGATGTTGACAAGAAAACGACGAGTTATGAATATTGTTTGTGACGACTGAATGGCTTTCCATGAGCTGACTGAATTTGTGTTGAAATTTGAAACGTTAAAGGCCAATGACGTTAATATTATGTCAGTACAAGTGAATAATAATGAAATCATAAATGTGTTCATCCAATGGGAACTAACAATGAATGATCAGTGATTCGCTGAAAGACTCACACACTTTATAATATTCATCTGAAATATGATTCATTTATCTGAGCAAACAATTCAACGATCGCTTGAAATG